TTATTTAACGGTCTCTTAAGATTGACAGCTTTGTCTTTACTGGGATTTTTGGGAAGAATTTGTAATATTTAGATGGGAAGGTACCTGGGTTTTCAGTAGGAGGTCTAATTTAACTGTTAGGTCGGTAATTGTCCGCTGCTGGGCTTCGATGATCATCATCAATCTTTCATTGGTCTTCTTATCGTCCTTTTTTGACAGCTCCTGTCGAACCATCTCCAATTCGGCTCTCAACTCCTCTATGGTCTGCTCCTTCGACTCCATCTCCATTGCCATGGTGGAAGCGCCATTTCCTGACCCCCCTGGGTCAGTTTCCATAGTAAATACCTCGGTTATCTCGCTTTTCGTCTAAAAAATTTTCCGGATCGAAATTACGGTACAGCTGCTATCAGTGCCCTATACAGGGCGATAGCACAGCAGTTCGGTGCAACTGGTTGGCCTATATTTAGTTTTTTTCTTCTCTGTGATTGCGCTGTAATTCAAGCAAACATTATTATTTTGCATTGTTTATTGATATTTAGCAGACATATTAACCAAATCGTCCCAATTGTATGATTAAAATGCCATGATGACATCTGTAAGAGCCTACTGTGACATGAAAATTCATATCCTCCCTTGAACGTTCCTCAAGAAAGCGTCATTGTTCCACTCTTTCCAAAGAAAGATCCATTGTTTCTAAGGCTCAAAAACCACGAAGCGTCGACAAATTGGTGACCTAGACTCTAAGTTTAATGGAATTGCATTGACGATCTAAAGTCGTTCGGTCACTTGAGGCTTCTCCATGAAAATGAAGACTTATTTGCCTTAGCAATTTCTACACATGGAAAAGTAGTTAAATGTCTTTTTCGAGCAAGAATTTTTGCTTGCTTTTCTTTATTTCATTACTTTCCTTAAGGAACGTGAAGGCTTATCCAGTTTGGTTTATTACTATTGTACATAAAATCATTAGTATATCGATACAGTCATTCATAGAACCAGTGAAATAAGGAACCCTCGAAGTTAAAGAATGTGAAAGAAGTAATGAAATAAAAGAAGCCGCCTTTATTTTTAAGAAGGATATTTGACAACTCTCATGTCATGTCAAGCTATAAATACCGAGGCATAAAATCCTTCCTAATGACAGGGATGCCCCAATCAAGGTATGCTCTCGGCCCTTAGTAGTGAATGTACGTTTGGGTTATTTGGTCAGCTTCTATTGGCGACTGTACGCCAAGAGGCAAATGTCCACTATTCTTGTAAAGAAACCAAAGGCGATGGTAATACTGATGGCGATTTATTTGCAGCAGAACAAGTGGCTGTTTACACAACGGTACCAAGCCGTTCACCTTGCCTGCAATATACGACTGTCCAGCCATTTTTTTGACCGCTGCTTCTGCGACACCGTTCTGGGTTTACACAAAAGCATTGGCGTCGCAGCAGGTATACCAATGGAAGAATACGTGCATGTCCTAAGTGCACTGTTGAGTACTTTACGTTGCATTTTTTTAATCGCCAGTGTTTAAGGTTTGCCTTAATGCCGCTGTTCTAACTAAAATCAAACAGCAGCACGGGTATTATGTAAAAAACCTATAAAATGTCAAAAAACCTATAAAATGTCATATTTCAGACTAGGTAGTTTTTATTATGCAGGCAGTCATTTGACGTTTGCTCACTACGATCGTGGTGAACGTCCATCTATGGAGTAATGACGCAACTGAACTACACGCATTGTTCGTTGCATATATTTTGTGAAGCGTAGTGGTCTGTAGTTTCCATCTCTGAGATGAACGTTGGTTGAATAGCAAGATCGCATCTGCATGTGTATAAAATCAGTGATATTTGCTGTGTGAGAAAATCATTACTGAATATGCTGCCAGTCAAGTATATCTATTAGCTGTGACCGACGAGTTATTTATGTTGTGCTTTCTGAAGAGAGGCTATGGTCAAAGTTATAAATTACGAAAAACTTTGAGGAAAATTACGCGAAATCGTAATCGCGTTGTTAGTAATTACTGTCAGCATGTATATGACTTGTAATTCAACAGTGTACAGTGAATATGATTATTCCTTATCTCTCTCATTTTCGAAATTCAGCAAATTTGTATATGTAATTTCCAGAATGGATAAAAAAAGTGGTTGCGCAAGTAATTTCTAGCTTTGAATCTCTAGTAAGTGTATTTGAGACAAGAATCCAATAGAATTATCATTAACACATACAACCCAACTAGCAAAGTAGTGGTATAAGCTTTTGGTAAAAGAACCGTTCAGCCATAAAAGCTCTCTATTGTTGTTGCCTGAACACCAAAATGCTGGCTTAATGTTGTGTGGAATGCAAATTTGCTCTAAAATGAGGTGTTTAAAATATTCTTATAGCATAGTTATACAACATCTTATAGGGCAAATTTTTAACTGTTGCATAAACGTTTATACAACTATTTTATACGGCATATTTGCAGGTTAGTCAAAATCGTTGTGTTGTAGTATCCATGGTAACGTTTATAAAACAAACCCGAGCCTTGTTGTTTTGCTGTGCAATTTACTACTTTAGCCAACAAATTGCCCCGAATCAGTCGGTATTTCATTTCAGACATTTGTCAAATTATTGTATAACACCTGCAGGCAAAACCAAAATATTCTAATAACCTAAAGACAACATGGACGATGCCATGATTGTACACAACCATCCGCCATATTGGGCAAACATTTATTCCTCTATTTAATATTAAATAATCATGTTTCAGTTCGAAATTACAGATATAAAGAGATAAACATTAGTGTAATTGTGTCTAAATATAGGATTTGTGGAAGATTTAATGCAGATAAGTTCAGTTTTCCATCTTCAAAATCTAGACATACTTTTGATCATTGTCAAAATATGAATCAAATGCGAAGCCCGTAGAAATTGGGTAACTAATTTGCACGATAATCACAATAAAATTTGCTGCGCAAGTAATTCAATAGCCCTATATCACAGTGTAGAAGTTTATCATATACCTGTGTATGAAATTCACAATGGCCGATAAGGTAAACAAGATGACTGTAATGTGTTAGTTATATATTCTTCACTTCGTCTATACAATGTATAAGAAATAGTTTGGTTGCAATAAAGTAGAATCACGTAACATAAATAGTTGTATAGTTGACAAAAACTGAATCTTACAAAGACGCAAATGTCCTATAGCGGCTGCAAGAGGCTTACACTTTTGTTTTATAACTGTTACCGGCAGCCCTTATACAACCTCTTAAATGACTGAAGTGTCCTATTAGGTGTGCCCATTCCGCTTGTATAGCTGTTCTAAGAGGGTTTTGCCAATGTTCTTACAGTATACAATGCTGTTTAAGGAATACTATATAATCATTCTTGCAACTCTAATAGGAGTGATAATTGTTAGTTGGGAACTTACAGCTTAGACCTCCAGTAATGCCATCTCTGAAACAGATTTTATATCACATTAGAGCCAAACATTAATAACTGAAGCCTCATGACGTTTAGGCAAAAAAAATTGATATATCATCACTTTTCAAGATACGTAATAGCCGTGCCGAAAGTAAATCGACTTCAACCCGATTTTGTCTTGTTTTGAGGTTGTGAAAAAAGTCATTAAGTAGGTGATGGCTAAAAATAATGCAATCTTTGAATAGACTACTTTTATTCTTAAAAAACCTTGACCGAAAGAAAGGCGTATACGTTTCTTAATGCAGATGCTGCCGCGTAGTCAGATACCTAAATACCGGGGCGCCGCAGCTGCTAGAAGGCAGTTAGAGACACCTTGTTAATCCAATGTTTGAACTGCGTAAGGTTTGCAGAACTCGGAAAAGCCTCCTTGGTTAAATTGACCTCTAATCTCGACACCATAGGAACCTTTGAGCGGTCGAACCGGCCAGCTTTGGATTCACGGAGTAAGAATGGGAGGCAGAAACGCGGCCGGTTGGCAATCCATGTACTTCTTCAGAGTTCTTTCCTGTTATGGAGCTTTTGCCGTGATGGGACCTGAAGATCTCATTAGCAATCTTGTGGAGTATTTCCCATCATCTATTCTGTTGGTCTTCTCCACTAGCGCCATTGTCGCCACCAGATTCTGTTAATCAACATAAAGCGAGTATAAAATATTGCTAAAATATATAAATATTTCTCCTTTAGCAGTGTGTCAGTGACGACACCACTGCAGTCCAGTTGGAGTTTGTTACCCATTGCACACTCGGCAGTGCCACGACGACGCAGAATCGCGCAATGAATGCAACGCCATCGATTGCCGAATTTGATGAACTTTTATTATTTAATTGTCCCGTTGTTACCGGGATCAGAAACTTCTTAATGATAGAACGTCTTTGACTAATACTAGAAACATTATATTTACACCCGCTTCCTCCTACAACCCCCAAATATTTCAACCGCTACAAAAATTGTTTCGAAAATTTAAGCGATTCTAATTTGTTTAGCTTGGCTCCGCCATCACTAGACCGATTTTCAAAAACTACCTATCTTTTTAATATTTACGTTTTATAAAAATTTCATCAAAATCCGATCGGTACTTCTCAAGTTATAGGCAGAAATGAGTGACATGGTTTTTTGTAATGTATCTACATGTAATATAACATCCAAAAAACATATCTCAATTTCGAAATTTTTTGCGATTTCAACACTTCCTCGCCAGTTTCGGCCTAGGCAAGTAAAACGATTTCCACTGAAATTCCTTAGGGGCCTGTAGCTGCCTATGGGACCTCTGTAAGCTCCAATGGAAAATTGTGATGTCCATCTCAGTATTAATTTTCAGCATGTGATGTATTAAGACCTTTTATGACGCAACTGTTAGCTCAGATATAGTTCACAAGCGCAATTTCTCACTGTATCTGACTAAACGGTAAATTGAGTTGTCAATAGCAATACCTATAAAAATAAAGGTATATTTGTGTGGAGATATGTCAGAAGCACACGACGATATTTTCGGAAACAGCCAATATAGGATGCAACCCTTGTTTTTCAGCGACTATTTAAGACAAACGATAAACGCGAAGCCGGGTAGTTTGGGTTTGAGTGGTGGTGTCAACATAGAAAGCATGAGGTGAGCTTTCTTAGTATATTAGAGAGGGTTGCAAACTATGAATATGTTGGGCATGGGCGACCGCAGGGGGGGGATCATCGACGAGATATAACTTTTGGTTAAGGTGTAACTATCTGAACCAAAACTTTGAAGAGCTGATGGTAATAGAACCTATAAATCCTATAAAGATTGTAGACAAATCATGCTAAATATGCAAATTTTGAGGTCCAATCGGATTCTCAGGGGAGGCGACGGGTGTCCAGCTTGTAAAGCGCAGTAACTGTGTTGCACATTCAGGATGTCCAAAGGTCATCAACCAAACGGAAGGAGGTAATATAGGGGGTGGAGTCATTTTCAATCAGGAAAAACATATATGTTCTCATCCGATTGATCACGGTTTTTGAGCTATTGCAGTTTTTAAGGATTTTTAGGAAATCGCTGCTTTTGAGACCATACACAGTTAATGTAGGTATAGCAAAAGGCTGAACCGTAATTTTATTTATTGTCAAAAATATTACGGCATATTCAAGAAGGCCTATAAAAAAATAGTAGGCGAATAAACTATATCCCTACGTTAGTTAGGAAAAACCTTCTGGGTATTATGACCTTCCAAAGTACGTTTTATGGATTCAAATATCCTAGATAGTGCTTGCGCAAGATAGACAAAGTACTGTAGGTAAACTTGAAAAATCCCATTTTATGAACTTATATTTCTCATTATCAATCTTCTACGATTCGGATAGTTATAAAGCGATTGACAGACCATACATCCTCAAATCAGTGCCATGTCTAATCAATTTCACGCATAGCGGCATTGATATTATTTTGGGTGATAAAAGGGTTACAGTATTTTGAAGTACCATCTAACTATTCTAACTCGATAAAGGCCTTTCATAACACAAATAGGATAATGAAATATATATATATATATACATATATATATATATATATATATATTACGTGAGCCGTAAATACAATTAATTGTTAATTGAGAAATTGACAAATTTTTAGGCTTAAGTTGACTCTTTTGACGATAAAATCAAGCTTTCGGCATTCTCTATGGAGCCTTCATCAGGATTCTGAAAACACAGTTTTGATGCTAGCAAAGAAAACAGGACAGATTTAAATTGTCAAACAACTTACTCGTCGTTGAGGTTGCAGCCACAAGGTGTTGGTTGAATCAAGCAACTGAACCTTATGCGTGATTCGACCAACACTGCCTATGGCATTAATTGCAACAACTGTAATTTAGTTTATATAGGCCAAACTTCTAGGTCGCTGAAAGGCAGGATAACTTAACCCAAAAGTGACGCCAGATTACATCCAGAGAGATGTGCTTTGGCATCACATATTAACAACACAGGTCACTCTATTAATTATGGCAGTATTGAGGTTCTTGATAAAGAAAAAAGACTCTCAAAACGTTTATTTTTAGAAATGTCCCACATTTTCATGACAGATCATTGCATGAATAAAAAGGCTGATGTTAAGCAGCTCAGTGTCATTTATTCCTACCTGTTGAATTGCGAAAAGCTAGAACGGCTACATATCCAAATTGAACCAACATCTTCACAAAATTAGAATACATTTTCTCACTCACATTTTTTAATATAAACTCACATAACCCATTTTTTCGAGATTGTATCAATATCACACATTAGTACACACATATGAACTACACACATTTTTCCAAAACAAATTAATTCAGCATTTTAGTAATTTTGGGTGGAGGTTTACCGAGCGTCCCTCGTATACTTCATACCCAAATTTGGACAAGGAGGTTTACAGTTCCACGGTCCGTCGCGTCAAGTAGGAGGTTAGAGACTGCATTCCGATTGTTTCACTAAAATGTCTTCTCACGTGTAATACTTTTTGATTTGTTCGGGTGGATTGATATTTTTAACATGTAACAAAGGTATCTGTCGTTTTCAACAAGCCCAATGTCCCCGTCCTTTTGTTTTTATACTGATTACAAGTTCTATCTTCTCTACGTTCGTTTTGAAACACCTTGTGGCTGCAACCTCAACGACGAGTGAGTTGTTTGACAATTTAAATCTGTCCTATTTTCTTTGCTAGCATCACAATTGTGTTTTCAGAATCTTGATGAAGGCTCCATAGAGAATGCCGAAAGCTTGATTTTATCGTCAAAAGAGTCAACTTAAGCCTAAACATTTGCCAATTTCCCAATTAACAATTAATTCTATTTTGTGCCCAACTATACGTATATATATATATATATTTGAATATCACTGTGACGAATATGACATCTTGCATCGAAATCGCAATAATAGAATCACAAAATAGGAATAAGTGGGGCATTGTTTCTGCAAACCTTTTGGAGCACTGGCGTCAGTTTATTATCGTATACATGTTTTATTATCCCATTTGTGTTACAGAGGGCCGTTATCGGGTTAAATAATTTGGCAAAAAATCATAATGGGTGTTAAATGCACATGCTGTTTACATTTGTTACTAATTTATGGATGTCGCTGCTTGGCATAGACTATATCCACTTAATCATATTTTAAGTCAATTTAAATTTTTAGACAAAATTTCATAAAATATTGGTGCTACTGGTATATACGCTTAAATCGGGGCAAATTTGCATACTTAGGTTCTAGATTAACTAAACGCCTCCCAGAAAGTTTTGAAATTCAAAGTTCCTCCGAAAAAGAGATGGAACAAACCGAATTTTCCCAAAATCGTTTTAATTTTTTCCTGACTTTATTAGTCGTAGGTTTCGAAAATAACTTGATTATTAACATTGCCACTTTTTCCCTCTACAAGATGGCATAATTAGAATTCCAATGTGACGTTTTGTCTCTTGTCCTCCAGAATCAACTTTATTTTTTAACATAACACCGTCGTACATTGACATTGCCAAACCTTAGTTTAGGCCTTGAAATTATCAGATTGTCATTTGTTTCGCATACCAGATTTTTTCCTGACTTTATTTGAGATGAGAAATAACTTGTATGTTGCCTTTGCTATTTATTCTTCTCTACAAGATCACGTCATCAAATTTCGATTCGACGTCTTCGCTTTCGACTTCCATGACCAACTTTGTTTTTTCATATGGACGTTTTATCGGAATTTTTGTACATCTAAATGTACTTTTCAGTCCTGATTTCAGTGATATATTTCCTTAGTTGGTTATGAATTTGTTGCTGGATGGAAATTTTAAGGAAATAAAAAGGTATGGTGAAACCTAACCCGAACATGAAAATGTTATTGATGGTTATAACAATAATCATAAATAAGCAGGGGTAAATCATAGCAGATGTTCAAAATGCGATTGACTTTGTAGACTCTTCTTTGTATCTTGTTCACTGCTAGATTGATTTCTCTTCTTCTCAGTCTTCCAAACTCTGTTGCTATGAATGCTATGCAACTTGAGGTCTGGTCTGGTATGCGAGACATATGAAATCAGATAATTTCAAGGCCTACCCAGGAAATTCCGTTTTTCTGGAATAACTAAAGTTTAGGAATGTCAGTGTACGTCATATAATATATTTTTGAAATCAAAATTGAAACCTCGTCTCTCCTGCGCGAAAATCCAATATGGTCGTAAAAACCGAATCCAAAGCCGCCTCCCTGAATACGCGAGTGCTTTTATGGATCTATGTGCTGGGATACACGGGCGTTGTGTGCTGTGATGCAAAAAACGCGCATGTAGCATACCATCGATATGGATGAAACAGAACACAATATAAAATGGCATTTGCCGGTATCACGTAAAAGGCGCGTTGATTTCCTGCGTGTACAGCAAGCAGTACATGCGTTATAACGTGCTTTTTTAGCATCAAATTACCGTTCGTGTGTCTCGGCTCTGAAATTTTCTCAAATTTGTAGTCAACACTGATTATAGATGTAATAAACGATGTTCTATTACCAGTTTTAATTTGTATGTATTTTATCTTCCAAATAAAATGAGACCTGTTCTGACTTCCCTTTCTAGCCTTTGGGTGTTCCTAACCACATACTTTTCTAACACCCATGCTTATTTGCCATCCTTTATATGGTCTGTTCCATTTGTTCGCGTTTTCCTTTGTATGTCTTTGAAGTGTCAACACATGCCTGCTTGCTTGCAAGAAACGCTGCGAAAAGTTTTAATAGGCTTCATTTGTTACAGGAACTCACCGGGACCGCGCAGGCAGCTCAGAACCTTTTTTATATCCTTTCTGTTTTGTTGTACCCTGCTGAATAGTGTTCGTGGGTATCCGTCGGTTGAGGATATGCGGTATTATGATAAAGTAGAAGTATGTTGGTAGTATTTATAGGAATAAGTAAAAGAATGTTCCAATGGAATGCGCTTTTGCACTATTTATAAGAGCATAATATTGTTCTATGGCATTTTTCTCTGCCTTTCAAAATTATTGGATTGATCTTTGCTGTAGTAGGAGTATTACTTGTGCCTTAAAAATTGTACTATGCACGACGGGGTATCACGCATAGCGTCAAAGGGTTTTCAGTTTGGATTATGTCTCTAACTTCTACGATTGAACTGTTCTTGATATTCCTTGATAGTCCTTCATCGATACCAATATGCAAGAATCACTTGAATAATGGAATACACCAGTGGGTGCTAGCGAAAGATGCTGTAAAAGTCAACACTGTTAATTGTCATTTTTCGACAATCGCCTCTCTGTGTCATCAATTTTAGTGTATATGAGACTTTAAAATTTGATGCCAATTTCAAATGAAGCAACCGTAGACTAAATAGAAAGTTAGCTATTTAGCGTAATTTTTTAGAAGAGCAAATCCTCTTAGATAATCGCTCACCATCTTCATGAGGTTAAAATGCAGAAATTGCTCATAATCAAAAGCCGTTGGGAAAGGTTTGAAACATTTGAATTGCTTAAAAAATATATGCTCGTTTTATGTTGTGGAATGTCACAACTAGTGTAAATGAATAATATTCTTCAACTAATTCAGGTACCAGATAAAAGTAACTAAAGTGTCAACGTAAACTTCTGCTCCCAGCAAATGTATGATTTTTCTATGATGTTGTCCTTTTTAGTAAGCTAATGCATTCATATACTCCAATTTTAAAAAAATATTTGTTTTATGATGGTGCAACTATTTCTTTTTGTTCGCAACGCTGTGCTAAAGAATCGAGTTGCAAATTAAAATCATACAATGAAATAACTTTATTCATTGGCCTTTTATCATCTACATCACAAAGAAATACAATTTTTGATAAAAAATATTTTCATATACGATTAAATCCCAATGAAAATTATTGCGTCACTGACGAAATTACAGAGGTAACGATCCGAAGACCTTACGGAGAAGAAAATTGCAGATATAAAAACTAGACCTAATCATCAGATCCCTTATGTACTGGGATATTCATTCCAAAGACGTCATCCGCAACATTTTTTGTATTGTGTTAATTTCCTAGTTTTTGTTGCTCCTGCAGGTTACTTTCCGGAAAAGTGGAGACTATACCCAAAATATCAACAACAAATTTCCCAATATGTCGAAAATAAATGCATTATACTTCATGTCCAATCTGGTTTCCGAGATTCTTATGACACAACATAGTTATACACCAATATGATTCCAATAAATGTTTTACCAGATGTTGAAAAAGTCTTTGAAGAAATTATTTACGAACAGATCATCGAATTTATTGAGGGAAATAACATATTAACCAAATTTCAAGCTGGATTGAGGAAGAAACACTCAACTGAAACGGCATCACAAATGGTTTTAGAGGACAATATGGACAATATGGACATGGAGAATAGGAAACATAAAGTAACAGTGTTTTTGGACTTCAAAAGGGCGTTTGAGACCATTGACAGGGATAAATTACTTACAAAATTGCATCACTACGGATTTAAAGGATCTGTATTCGAAATTCTACAAAACTTTTTAATTGACAGACATCAAAAAACAAAATTCGATTTACATTATCAAGATCAAAAAATATTTCTTGGTATACCACAAGGTAGTAAACTAGGTCCACTACTATTTAAAAAAGCTAAATTCTGGCTTGGCAAAAATCATAAATTGGTTAAATGTAAATGAACTAAAATTGAATACTGCTAAAACAAAATATTGAAATATCTCAATGAAAATACTATCACAGCTATTTATCGATCAAATATTTAGGTATATATATATATATTGATAGTAAAATGTAGTTTGACGATCACTATGCATATATTATTTCAAAAGTTGCCAAAAAAAACAATTTTCTTTTGTAGGAATTCTCGTAGTCTTGGTACATATTCCAAGAAAATAGTTTATAATACAATTATTCTACCGCATTTACTATATTGTTCAACTATCTTGTTCACTGCCAATGAAGCTGTATTCTCAAAATTACAAGTCCTGCAAAATAAAGCTATGAGTATTGAATAAAAATAAGAACACCAAAATAAAGTATATGTTACAAGAATTGCAGTGGTGGAATATGAAAAATTTCATATCATATTTTTATATTTAAAATAAAAAATGATCTTTTGCCACAACATTTAGAACAGAGGAGGAAATATATATTTTGATTTACAAAATTGCAATAGTAATATAACTAGCAAATCAATATTTCAGAAACGATTACTTGAATTTAATAAACTATATAATGATATAAAGTCTACTTGTAAGTTAAAGATGTTTAAAATAAAATTATAGGAATAAATCATGGACAGTGAAAATTCTTAGAGATGCAAATTTTGTTTCTTCTAAATATCTGTATGTTATGTAATTGTTTAGTTTTTTAGAAGAATGTAATTATAGCAATCATGCTAAATAAATCTGAAACAAACAAATAAACAACACTTGCTTGTATCCTTGATGACACTGTTAGTTAACTGAATTGTGGTGAAGCTGTTTGTCTAATATTACCAGATTAATGTAAGGCTTCTGATACAATTGACCAAGAAATTTTGTGTGCCAAGCTTAGATATTATGGATTCAACCCTGCTGCCGCTCAACTTATAAAAAGCTTCCTTACTAAAAAATATCAGTATATCTCCATTAATAACGAATTATCTAATAAATCGGTTCTAAAGATGGGTATACCCAAGGCTCCATTCTCAGTCCTGTTTTATTTTCTATATACATTTCGCATTTTTCAAAACATATAAAACACAGCAAAATTCATCACTATTTAGATGATATACAAATAATATAATAGAACCTTGCCATTGCCGAAGTTGTTCGTTCTTTTAATCTAATTAACTTTTCAATATCTCAGCAGTTCATAACTTGACACTAGATGCTAGTAAATCTAAAATAATGTTTTTGGGTCGAGAAGCAAGCGTAATATAGCAGAAAATCTTTGTCAACTAGCAACTAATAAAATTCCATTATCAATTGTAACAATTCGCAAAAATTTAGGGTTATAGTTGGACAATCAGTGAAAATTTGATTCCATATTAAAGAATTATGCTCAAAATCATATAGTATTTTCAAACAAATAAATCCTCAAAGAAATATATTGAACAGTAAACTGAAAATGCTATTGTGTGATGCTCTTATAATTTCAAGGATTGCATACCGCGCAAGTGTATATGGGCCGGCAATAAAAAAAATCATAAAGACAAGTTACAACAGCTACAAAATTCTTATTATCGTTTTTCTCTAGGTACACGGAAATTTGATAATTGTAAAATGAACATGGAGAATCTCAGAAAATACCAAAGTTTATGTTTTATTCATAAAATTTTAGTCAATAAGAAACCAGAATATCTTTTAAATAAAATCAACAAATTTGAAAACATCAATAACTTCACTACCAGAATTCGACAATTATTAGTTATATCTAAGCACTTTACGTCTCTCTACAAAAGCGCTCTTATACTGCTGCCAAGTTATACAATAGTCTTCCATATGAATTTCGAAATTATACTCTCAACAATTTTAAAAAGAAGCTGAAGTCGTGGTTACTCAACAGTACATAATCACTCCCTCACCACTCTGCCACCCAATCTACCTTGATAGTTTTTAAATAAATTGGTCACATACGTGAAATTTATCTAGTGTTACAACAAAACATATAGGTCGCTTGTCGCTAACTGCAATTCCCTGTCTTAAACTCATAGACGTTAATATACTGAACCAAATACGACAAAATTTTGGTGTTAGGTTTATTTCTAGAGTAAGTGTAAAATATAGAACGAAAAGACGACTTTTGACCTGATGATACTTTCCAGATATCGGGAGACCCAGGCGCGCACCAACTGGCCAGCTGGTTGGCTGCTCAACTGCGGGGTGGTGCTGATCTTCGTCTGTCTGCCCCACCAATAGAGATATCTCCAGCAGCACTGCCTTACCGCCTGCCGTTAGGCATACCACTGTCTGCCACTGGAAAACGCAACTCAGAAGTCACTAACGCCATCATTGGATCCGAGGAGACCCAGAAGATGTATCGAGATGGCAAGAGATAAGTTCCTCCTCTTCGCATCACCGACAGTACCATATGATTGAGAAAATTAAAAAATGATCCCTCTTTATGAATACAACAGCTATTCTCTGAACTTTGTTTTGTTTCATTTTTTGTATGAAAACCTTTTGGACACTGTACAGAATTTGACACAAAATTCTGCGTATACTGCCCTAGAAAAAAATGCTCGCTTTAAAAAAAAACATTGGTTATCAGTGTGTGTATATAGCTGTTATAAACACGCTTAGTTACTTCAAATGAACCCCTAATATATACTAAGTGACATATAAATCCGAACACCCAGTTTAAATGGTTTTATTTTAATAAAATTTTGTATAAGTAATTAATGAAGCATAATGAGTAAATGATAAAAATTTCACAAAATTGCACTGCTTTGTCGTATCTCATTCCAGGCAACCACCAACTCCTCTCGAAGTGCTTTTAGAGTCTGAGGAGGACGTTGCAAATTGAGCAATCTCCTACCCATCATATCCCACACGTGCTCAATTTTGGATAAGTCGGGAGATCTTGGTGGCCATGGTAACAATGTGACATCATTATGTTGAAAGAAGTCTATTGTGACTCTTGCAACATGTGGTCGGGCATTATCTTGTTGGAAAGTTGGATCTGCCAGGGTGTCAAGATAGGGTAAAAGATGGGGTTCTAGAACTTCGTGGATATAACGCTGCGCGTTCATGTTACCTCTGATGAAGATTAAAGGTGACCTGGAACCATAAGCTATAGCACCCCAAACCATAACTCCAACAGTGTGATGAACATGCCTTTCAACAAAAAACTGTGGATTCCTCCTTCCACCACGTCGCCTTCTAACCCTGGCACGACCATCGTGCATGCCTAAACAAAATCGAGACTCGTCACTAAAGACAATACTGTTCCATTCCTGATCCCAGAGTGTCCGTTGTCTGCACCACTCAAGGCGATTACGTCGGTGTTCTCGAGTTAAAGGGAGGACCCAGTGTGGCCGGTACGAAAACAAGCCAAAACTTCTCATTCGTTGGTAAACACTTCGCATGCCAATAGGTCTTCCGTGTTCTGCAAACCATTCATTTGCAATGGACCTGATAGTGGAGAAACGGTCCCTTAAGGCCAATAATCTTAGGCGGCGATCTTCACGGTCTGTTGTTCTACGGCGGCGTCCAGTCCCCCTTGCTCTTTGCGTACGGCCTTCTCGAAGCCATGCCTGACAACACCTAACCTACACTTCTTTGCACTCTAACTGCAATTGCCCGAAAAGAAAGTCCAGCTTCCCGAAGTCCCACTATACGGCCCCTATCAAACTCACTAAGTTGACGAAATCGTACAGGTCTCCGTACTCTAGGCAACGTAACCGATCGTAAAGGATGTCAAGAACCAAAATCCGCCAACGTTGATTCTTTACTGGGGCTGAAATATTCATTTTTAGAGCATTAGTGAATTAAAAAAAAGCAGTTTAAAAACCGGAATGTCCAACTGATAGGGCTGAAAATTTTTTCACTTGTTATTTACAGTAAGATAAATACATTCACCAACTTTTATTAAAATAAAACCATTTAAACTGGGTGTTCGGATTTATATGTCACTTAGTATATTAGTGTTTATGTAAAACGATTTTTCTAAGAGATGTAATTTATTTTGGTGATATTGTTATCTCGTCTACCATGCTATCCTGTCCATATTTCAGTTGGTATACAATATGACCACAGAGTGTGGTTCTTTGTACTTTGGTCTTTGATACAAATGGTTGAGGTTTGGGCCCCACCTAGTTCCAAGAACTTGGAAAAACAAGTAACAAGTAGTGCCTTCCAGCCTATCAAAACTTAAACTGACTGACAAATGATGGGTCTCTGGAGCTAATAGAAACACAAACATTTATTGAACAAAAAAAATTAAAAGAAGTCCTGGGAGACAAGCTAAAGGAAATTGTTTGGTACTATCCCCCAGCTAAACGGTTTCCAGTAAAAACTAAAATAAAAAAAATCACCTTGGTAGGTGCTTTGCTATTATAGAATGGTGGCTACCCAAGTGGAAGCTCTGAAGTAATGGTAACCAAGGGTAAGAAGTCCCAGATGTAAGTCAGAATCCGAAAGTAAAACCCTAAATAGAAAAAATTACCCGTTAAAAATAACCCGAAAGCACGATTTGACTAATTATCCTATCCCCCCCTTTTAATTTGCCTCCAAGAATTTAAAATTTAAGAATAACCTGAAATAACGAACATTATACAGGGTGACTTCGAAGTTGAGTCATTTATTTTAACAGTGAGTAGATCTGATCAAAAGAAATGTTTTTTTCCTTTACCATTTTTCTGGTAAAATTAAAGTAACAAAGTTATAGCCCTTTGGAAGTTTGAGTACCGCCCTGTCTCAATGTGCTCGTGTTTGGCGACAACGGATATAATCCGTCGTATCGGTTCATCGCATCCGAAACAAAAAAGCGAAAGAATTTGGAACGAATTATTTCATTCATTTGTATACATTCAGTGTCAGTGAATAGTTGTATCTGTTGCGTGGCTCAAACGAAATAAAAAATGGCACATGTTTATGCGGATCGGTTTCCCAATCGAGTGCAACCAACCCCTCGTGCCTTTGTTAATGTAGTACAACGGGCTCGTGAATCAGGTGACTTAAGACCTCACAGGGGACCTCACGATCAAATACAGGTCCGCACTGAAATACTTGTCGGGAGGATACTTTATAAAACAAGGTAAATTTTTTTTTTAATTTTTATTTTATTTTTACACACATATTTTGGTTTATATTCCTTCTACAATCATTATCTGAAAATTAATGACTCAACTTCAAAGTCACCCTGTATATATGTATTATGTTACCAATAAAAAATCCAAGGCATTTCTTTGTTTTTACTACTAAATGAGTTGATTAATGAATAGTTTTTGACGACTTCAATATTGACCTTAACAATGGATAATTAGATGGTTAAAATATAACCCTGGTGTTACATAAGACTGCCTAATTTGGCGCAAATAAAATCACTGATAGTTGTATGCTTAATTTTTGAACGACGTGATGGTTTTCAATTTGTACGAGGTCCAGACAGGTCTAGCAAAGTAAAAAAAATCATAATTACCTCGAACAATAAGGGTTCATGGAAATGAGGATATGGGATAATGATCTTCGTAGACGTCCTACTTATAGATCGTTTCGAAGTGTTAATTCAGACAGTTCCCCTCTATAGAATCAGAAATCATTTTGTGAAAATGAACATCGTAGCTTGGAGAAACTGGTCACTTATTTAGTGATGGATCCGTCAGTGTTGGTGGATTTTTACGCAGCCTTGTACATCAATAAATATTGACGTATATATTGCACATTTAATAAGTATCACATTGCAGCTAATACAGACCGTGTAATGGATGGACTGATACGGCTATTATGTAAAAAACCTATAAAACGTAAAAAAACAATAAAATGTCATCTTGCAGGCTAGGTAATTTTTGAGGTGCAAATAGTTCATTTCACGTTTGCTCGCTGTGAGCTCCCATCTAAGGTGGAATGACTCAACTACACACATTGCTGGTTGCAGAAAGCAAGTATATGAAGCCTAGTAGTCTGTAGTTTTTATCTTTGAGAAGATGTGAAAAAAAGAAAGTTGGTTGCACAGCAAGATCGCATCTGGATGATTATGTGTATTGGTCTGCATATGTATAAGATCAGTGATATTGGCTGTGTGAGAAAATTATGACTGAATATGAATGAAGTATATCTATTAGCTGTGCCTGACGGGTTTTTTATATGTTCTCCTTTCTGAATACAGGTTATGTTCAAAGTTATAAATCGGGAAATCGCTACCGCGCCCGCGTTGTGCGCAATTAAGCTCCATCACAGAAAAATTAGGAATGAGGCATCACACATCAAACATTTTCGCAATGCTCACATCTAGGCGCTGATTTGTATTTTCTATTGACATCGCAAAATAAATTTCTATAAAATTTGAATGACAGGAAATTAAAAATGATGTAATAACCATTTTCTCACATGTTCCTTCACCAACCAGATACATATTTTTTTTTCTTATCTCTCTCATTTTTTGAATTCAGCAAATTTGCATATGTAATTTCCAGAATGAATAAGTGTTTTTGAGTCAAGAAACCAATGGAATTATCATCATCACATATTATTAGCACACAAATCATCACTATGCACCTATGCGCTGCCGTTTCCTTCTAGCTATAGTATACAGTTTACAGCTTAGACCTTCTAACAATGCTATCTCTGAAGCAGATTTTACATCACATCAGACCCAAAGATTGATATCTGAAGCATCATGACGTTCAGGCAACACGTGCAACTACAAAACGAGTTCAAAGCAAGTGTCCATCATCTAGTGCTATGTTAACATCTTGTAGAAAAACCTACATAGTGCCAAAAAACCGAAATAATGTCACTTTTCAAGATACGTAATACCCATGTAGGTAGTAGTTCATGCCAGCCTTATATTTCATTGCATTTTTTGTTATTGCTTTAGATCTTTTTCATGCTAACTCGTCAACAGGTGGGATATGCCGTCATAAGATCACCAGTTCTGCGCTGGCACGCATACATAGTGTTCTTTTGGTAAATTTTCCCTCCGAATTTTCATGTGAGTGTGTTATTTAGTTTGAGATAATAATCTCTTCAGCCCTTCATTCCGGAATACAAGATAGTCACTGAGTGTTTTTATCTGATTCGATCACGAATTTGTGACGTCAGCTTATGAAGTGACTTGTCTCAAATAACGCTGGGTCAAAATCATCACAGGGGGGATGTTCTCGAATTTCGCATTTAAGATTTTTCGCACGAAAATGTCGAACCCTCCACTAAATTGGTGTCCTTGTTTCGACATCGTAGCCTCGCGAGTTTCTGTTGAATGAAAAATGTCGATTCCGAGATCTAAGGAGGCATCTGATGAGTTTCGTTCAGTCCATTGACTTATATCACCATCGCTCCCCTTGCATCTATGCATTGTTATTTGATTTTCAATCGAATTTCATTCAATATTTTATCATTGGTGATAATCGCAAGTATACACTTCAATTGTAATTGTAATTTGAACCAGTTTCTACATTGTTGGATTATTCGCTATTTTTCTGTACCCAGTAATAAACAAACAGATAATAATTTGTGCACGCAGTTCGACACGTCGTCGGAAGAGTGTGCATGTATCCTTCGGGAGACCTTTTGATTATGGATATGGCGGGCATGACAAAAGTATGTATACCTACCATCTTTAAGCCATAGCCTATAATAGTTGTGTGGTACTTTCGTTTATAGTCAAGTGTGACAAGTATCCAATTTTAGACCAGATGAAGTGAACCTCTTGGGTAAGTAGCATGCTTGAAGACTGTGTTGTAAGTGCAAATTTGGATCCTGTAGCAGTTTATTCATTGCGGCTTACAACCGCCTCATTGTCCAGTTAATGAATGCATTAGTCAAATTGATAATTTCATTCTTGCCACAATTTGGTAATAAAATCATCTTGGGTGACATGAATGTTGATTTGATGGATCCCAGCAATGCGCTCAGCGGTTGTTGTGATTTCTATGGCTTTAGACAAGTAATTGATGAACCTAAACGTATAACTCGCTTCAGTTCCACCTTGATTGATGTTATATTTGTCAGTGATGCAGGTATTGTTTTGAATTCTGCTAATGCTGATATCATATCTGATCATAGATTAGTTTTCTTTGCGAACTAAATATAGGAGTTAAACACACCAAAGATAAATTTGTGACCTACACAAATAACAAAGATATGCATATCGTCCAGTTGAAGGAGGATTTAGGGTCGTATCGTCAGTCGTTCCTTGAATTGTAGGATGCCTTTATAGCATCTTTCTATATTTCTACTATAAAACAGATGATAAAAATCAAGTTTTATCAGCCTGACATTCCTTAAATTAAAAAAAAACATTATCTTAAAATAGAGCGCCGACATGGAACATTAGAAATCTAGAAATTCCTCCGCCTTTCTGGAGTACTGGAAAAACCATGAAAATCAAGGAGGCCATAAAGGCATACTACAATTGTAGGAACGACTGACGATATGGCCCTTAGCGATGACAGGCTTATACAGAATACTCATATCTACGACATTAACCAAACAGTTAGTACACTTACAGAGACATTAGTTCAACTGTTCGATTACCATGCTCCAGTTTGGACAGCGCGCGTCACAAAGAAACCTGCCTCTTAACTAACATTTTCGGTGAAAGGGATAAAGCGTTAGCTACATTTCATCAGAACGCTTCCGATTGTAATTGCCAAATTTATAAAGATATGAGAAATTTCGCACTTGCCTCTCTTAGACACGAAAAAAGGCCTATCTGTCACGGTTTGATCAATTAAATTCGAAGAAAGCCTGGGATCAACTTAGGATGATGAACGTTTGTCCCGAACATACTGAGATTCCGTTAAATTTATTAAAACCCAACGAAGTAAATGACCACTTTTTATTGAATTTTCAAAATACTCATACCCATTCCCGATCAATTTATGCTACAGCTGAATTTTGAGTTTTTGTGGATAGGGAGGCAAATCCACACGGCCATATTTTGCTAGCACAGCAGTGGCAACAATTGTAGTTAAAGCATCTAATCGACACCGACTACCATAGGGTAATACTGGGAACCGACGTACTATTCGTCATTTATTTGTCCGGGCGGTCCGTAAAACCTTTGCCCATTAGTCACTGTCTAATGTACGTTTTTTTTTTTTTTTTATACTCCAACTACCACGAAGGCCTAAGGCCTAAGCACCCATTGGGTACCGTGGGGCTATGGGAAAGGGGGGGACGCCACACGGACTCTGGCGAGGGAACACGTGTGCATGCAACATGCACACATTCTGGCTCCGCCTACGAGAACCGCCGGGTGGTACCTCCGCGTTCGACAGTCAGAGACCATCTACCACCTACGGACAATCACAACATCCATGGCCAAGAGAAACATTTCTCCTGGGACGGGACTCGAACCCGCACAGCGCACGGCGGCTGATCAGGAGACCGAATGGTCTACTACTGCGGCCACCGCTGCTGCCTAAAACAAACACACAACATCCATGGCGAAGGCGAGATTCGAACTCGCGGCCCGGCCGGCCGGCTGATCAGTAGCACGACACTCTGACCCACGCGGCCAACCGAGGTCCCGCGTTAGTCGAATCTGTCAGTCCTGGCTGCCCAGAAACCAGACAAAGTCAAGGAAAAAGAGAAAGGAAAGAGAAGAAAAAAGGAGAAGAGCAAAGAAAAACAGATGTGCTTAGTTTAACAGTAAACACCTAGGCTTTTTGACGGTACACGGATTAATTTTGAGGTGAACTAAACTAATATTTGATTCGGTTTTGTTAGAGTATAATTTTGAGTTTACTAAAGTTTCACGCTAACTTTTGATTACAGTGCGAGCCGTGGCCTTGAATGTTTACGAACTTGCTCCACTGTGTCGTCCACTGAGTCACGCAACAGAGGGTTGCTGTGCGATTCCGCTTGACTATAACGTCGCTGCGCCTGAAGCTTGACATAATCCCTCAAGTAAGGAATGTCAAGGTCTCTGTGTAGTGTATCATTTGTCTCAATTGTCCTCAAAATTCTGCTTTGCAGTACTTGAAGACTTTGCATGTGGGTCTTGGCAAGTAAACACCAAGCCGCACATGCATAAGTAATGGCTGGTCTGATAAACATTTTATATAGTCGAACTTTGTTTATCAAACACAATTTGGAGGATCTTCATAACGAAGGATATAGTTGCCGAAACGCAATTTGGAATTTTATTTTTATGGATGCTGTATGTTTCTGCCACCTCATGCCTTTATCAAGGGTGACACCGAGATACTTGGCAGACTTTGTCCATGGTACACGATTTCCGTCTACAGAAACCTCTGCTGGGGGGCCGCGACGACGTTTTTTTTGGTATAATAAATAGCCTTCGTTTTCGAATCATTCATTTTTATCAGCCACCGTTCCGCCCACTCTACAACTTCGTCCACCGCATTCTGCAACCCATCGGGGAACCGACGTTTTCGAACACCAATTAATGTTTCTGCTACATTGCACATGAGCTTCATTATAGAGATTTTCGACAACATTGCCTGGATTTTGTAGAGGTGCCATTAGGTAGACTTTCAGCTGGTAACAACTATCTCCCAAGAGCACCGCGTTCTGAAATTGTCTCCCTTCAATTCGTGTTCATAGGTGGGAGGCATTGAAAATAATTGAATCATGGATCGATCTTGGCCATCGAGCAACAGTATAAAATATTTTCAAATCTGGCTCAGCAACTACTCTTTTAAGTTTTGCATATAGACACATAGTAAGCCGCGCGGGTCGAACGTCAATACTGAATCTTAACCTCACTCTTTAGTCAACTTAAAGTCAAAGTTTTACAACAATACGTGCAGTGTTCTCAATACAGTGAATTTTTAAGTGTCATCAAGTCATTAGAAAAATGGAACTCAACCGAGAACATTTTCGCGCCATAATTTATTACAACTTTCAAAGACAATTATCGCAACAAGAATGCCTTGCTGAGTTACTGTCTGTTTTCGGCAACGAAGCACCACATCAGTCGACAATTTCCCGTTGTTATGGAGAATTGAAACGTGGACGGCTGAGTCTTAGCGACGAGCCCAGGGTGGGTGCACCAAAAAACGGCAGTCACCCCGGAAAACGTCGATGCTGTGCGCAAACTCATCATTGAAGATAGACAATTTAGTTTCTCGTTGGATACCCCACCTGTTGACTGGAGAGCAGAAAGCAGCCAGGGTTAATTGGTGTCAAAAAACGCTTGACCGTTTCAATTCCTGAAACTCAAAATATGTGTACAGCATTGTTAGTGGTGATGAATCATAGATTTACTGTTATGAACCAGAAAATAAACGACAGTCGGCTGTTTCGAAAGAGATGGTCGAGACATTTGTGTCAAAAGCGGGTCATATTGCAACAATTCCTCTTAATGAGCAAAGAACTGTTACTGCGGATTGGTATACCACCATTTGTTTGCCAAAAGTCATCACCAAGCTTCGAAAAATCAACCCCGAAAGAAGAATCATCATCCCTCAACAATGCAAGCTCGCACACAGTCCAAAAAACAAGGCAGTATTTAACGGAAGAAAACGTGGAATTATTGGACCACACTCCATATAGTCCCGATCTAAGTCCTAACGATTTCTTTACTTTCCCAAAAATTAAAAACAGACTGCGTGGTCAAAGGTTCCAAAAGAGGCATTCAAAAATGCCTTTTTGGATCTGCCAGCAAACGAGTGGAATAAGTGCTTCGAAAATTGGTTCGAGCACATGCAGATGTGTATTAATCTTCGTGGTGAATACTTCGAAACACAATAAAGTCATTTAAAACTACCTACCGTGTTATTTAATTTCCATATGCAAAACTTAAAAGACATCCCTCGTATTTGTGTATTTATAGAAAAATATTACTTTCTGTTACGAAAAACTCCATCTTGAGCTCCTGGTGATTGCATCCAATGACTCGTGGAAATCTACAGATCCTATAGAAGCCATTCTGATCTCTTATTATTTCATCAGCTTCATTGGGCATTCCGATATATTGATTTGATAAACTTGCTATTGCTCTTGAAACTTTTGCAATTATACGGGATGCTGTTGTCTGATGCATGCTAATAAAGTTTACAATACAATTTTAATGTGGCTTGCAGGCATAAAATCGTAGGCATGTAAGGAGCTGATTAACGGGCGACACACTACTATTCCTGGAAAAACAAACATTTTATAGTGACTGAAACCTTGGAAATAACATAACTAATATGATTCAGATCCACAGCCAGAGGAAAAGGTGTTTAAAGATGTTCTTGTCTAAACTTCAATTCTGGCCAAGGAAATTGATTATCGTAATTTAATACTTGGTAAAAAATACTTACAAATTGTTATAGAACTCGAGTTGATGCTTTATTTGTTCTTCTAATCTGAGGACAGTGTTTTTTTGAGCAGAAATCTCCAGAAAAATCGTTAGGTCGTCCATCTCGTTAAAAAAATCTGTACGTTCATAATAGTGTCTTGAAAATACGAAGCAAATAATATCTAGGATGTCACCATCATTGTCAAGGGAAATCTCATCTTCGATCTGCATTACTTTTGTACTTTTGCAAAAAAGCACTTTTTCACAAAGACATCAACAACTCGAAAAAAGGTTAGAACCCCAATCCGTCAATTTTCGGATTAAACTGACAATACGTTCGGATTATGCCTAAACGCGATTAGCAGGCAATAATCTGGATTAGTCATTAATCGTACTTCTCAAGGGACGGTGAATATGGGCAAAAGGCGTTCGATACGGCTAACCACAAAATTTTGTTGA